TCAGCTATATCTGTATATTGTTTTTAGTCTTCATATCTTCTTCCACTGCATTCCGCGATCCAAACACTTATCTGTCATCATATGGTCCGACATATGACTCGCACCGTATCGACACCCGCTCTTCCCGGCGATACTGCGGCAGTGAAATCACCCGAACCCTCAACTTCTTGTGCGAGAGCTATAATAAGAGGAACTCATACTCCGTAGGAATCGACAGAAATGATGGTATGTTTTCTTAATTAATTCTCTTATTATTGAATTAATTGTTTCATTTATGAGCGTATGCTCGGTATAACACAAACATGAAATTGTGTTGAAAAAGTTTGTTTCAAAATTGTGTTTAAAAAGTTTGTTTGCTTTTTGTATTGAGATCTGGAGAATGAGAACAATTCATCAGATGATGGAAACAAATACTCGTTGGCTTTGGTCCATTTGCTGAGAAATAACAACGATTTGCGATATTATAGGAGACAAATCAGAGGTGTTGTCGATGACTGTTGTAAGAGATCGTGTACTACCACTCAATGTAAGCATTTACTGTCTCTGAAAACATTGTCTTTATCTAATCATTCACTTTGAAATGAATGCAATCAGTGTCACAATACTGTGATGTGGTCAGGATTGCCACCACAACCCCCGGTTCAAGTGATTAAGTCTTTACTGATTTCTAAGCTGTGATGAGCGCTATGGTTAGAGACGAGACATTATTTCCTTAACTGTTTAAATAAATGATACGATTAAAGTTACATTTATTAAAAATCTTCTCAAAATGAGCAGTATATTTTAATTTATTGTTTATATAATTTATTCATGTAACTTATTATTGTGTATTTTATAAATCTTGTATACAATATCGTGGTTTATTTGTTTATTTGGTATATTTATAAGTGTTTAATTGTTTAAAATTAGTAACTAATAAATGGTTTTTAATAATAATTTAATTATTGATTGAAAAAAGTATATCCCTTAGCCAAATAAAGTGAAAGCATATCAATACAATCTTATCATTTAAATATTATATATTAATAAAAAACTTTTAGGAAAACAACTTGATTGTAAACCAATGATTGTTAATTAAATATTTTATTTAATTATTTGATTGAGTGAAAATGTTTGACTTTTTCGTAATAATTTGAAATGAGATCTCTTATGAAAGTAAGAGTGTTTGTGTGGTTTAAATGCAATCATATTATAATAATTATATACGATCTCTAAAGTGAGAACTACTATCGAAATGGAAACTCCAATAAATAGTAAGTAAAATGAATCACATAAGCCATACAGAGATAATCGGGAAAATGCATAAATTTCATCCTTTACGTGAACGTCATCTAAATCGCGATCAAATTTCTTTGCCGTCCTTAAAGTCCTATCAATCCATTTGTCATACAATCCTGATTCTCGTGTTATGAAAATACTGTGAAATTATTATTAACAATTATCACAATAATAATAAAGTGAGAGATCATATGAAACTTACATATCATTCAAAGAGTGTAAAATGATTTTATTCGCGTATTCATTGACGGCTAAAAAATACGGTAGATTTTCGCCACCATTTGTCGATATATGCAATATATTAATTAAATTTGGTTCAAACTCTAATAAAATTGTTATCAATGACAATTTATTGCTCACTAAACCGAATGAACCCGNCAATATATTAATTAAATTTGGTTCAAACTCTAATAAAATTGTTATCAATGACAATTTATTGCTCACTAAACCGAATGAACCCGATTCTAAATCTTTGATTAAGCCTTTGATAAAAATTTGTGAACGAAATTCATCTTTTCTAAAAGGTTTAAACCGTTTAATGATATCTTTAGCTAACTTTGTGTCACTATTGATAGCAAAGTCATAGAGAGTGCTGTCTTCCCTGATATAAAACTTCATATCTTTTGTTTGAGACATCTCTTCAATTGAATCAATTTTGACGATAGGATCGGCTCTTATCATGTAATCCAAAAGATAGGTTGAGAACTGAATGGCCAGTACTACTGAACTTATTATCCAAATGCCAAATATGTAATTTTGTTTTGTGTTAAATGTAAACACAAATGATTGAAATGATTTGCAAATTGCAAATGTCGCAAAATTCCAGTTACATTCATAAAATGTTTTAAAGCCATTTGAATGAAGTGAAGCAATAAGTGATAAAATAATGATCGATATAATAATTAAAAGCCAAACCCATATATCGAAACATAGAAAATAACTGAACAGGTATATAGAGCCGGGACGTACTTTGGCCGCTATGTTACCCAATTCAAGATAACCCAGGCAATTGGATGGGATATAGTTAATGCCAGTAATTTTGCCTATAATAGTGTTGAGCACATGAATGTGATTGACAATCGCCGGCATTAATATGATGTCTGTTTTATTCTGTTTTAATTCGTCAAAGAATTCTTCCTGAGATTTCGGCGGATGTCTGAACACTAAACTAATATTTAAATTATTCATTNCTATAATAGTGTTGAGCACATGAATGTGATTGACAATCGCCGGCATTAATATGATGTCTGTTTTATTCTGTTTTAATTCGTCAAAGAATTCTTCCTGAGATTTCGGCGGATGTCTGAACACTAAACTAATATTTAAATTATTCATTCATTTTAATTCAGTTATTTTCTCGACAGAATATTTTTGCAAATCCTAACAGAATTTACATTATTCTTTATACTGTATATTTAATATACGATAGCATTACTTACATTGAGTTTAGCCGTTTAACTAATTCGATAATTAGTAAAACCAATGGTCCACAAACTTCTTTGAAACCATGTCTCATAAATTTCAATTATTTTAAGCATTATTATAAATGTTAACAATTATTTTTATTTAAAATTAATAATAGTTACCCAAATAAATAAGGCATTTCTTTTATACTAATAGCATAAATGGTGCGATTGTCCAGAACATGATCAGTCAATTGAATTCTTTGGTTCTCATTATAAGTGATACAGTGATCACCGACTAAATCCATGTTTAATTTAGTTTATAGTAGCATTTAATCCTACAATTATGAGTATACTTTGTATTCGTTTAACAATATACATAATTGACGAAAAATATAACACTAATATTATTGTAAATAAATAAATATTTTTTCAACTTATATAAACTGTTGCTTTTCACTCAATATCAAAGTACTTATTTTTATTTTTGCAATCTGGTATGCAAATAAAAAATTGGTTTATAAATATTAATATATATTTTACTTACTTTTATTTGCTAAAAAATGTTTCTACTATAGTTGAATAAATTAATACAAAATGTTTACAAAGAAAATGTTTACAGATGTAAGAGTTATTGAAAATAATATTCTGTGAATATATATTAAATACAAACTAAAATATAGCAGTTTAACTTAAGTAAAGTTTGTAGTTATTTAATACTATATAACTATATATGAATTATTGTATATTGATGAAATTTTATTTTCTACAATCAATAATACTTTTTGAAATAATTAGAATTTAGAATAAAAATAAAAATGTTATGCTACAATATGTTTAGATATTGAATTTACTACTTTTGACTCTAATATGGTAATTAATATTCAATAACTTCTACATAATATTTTATTGTTATTGTTATGCATTTGTATTACAAAAGTTATACATCTATAAGTTATATATAAATCTGTAAATAGTTTGTATGAATTACAAGATATTAAGTTACTAAGCAATATGTCCAAGCTAACTTTGTAAAATTAATTCACCCATAGAACATTTTTTACAATATTCTATATTTACAATTCAATTAATTAAAAACACAATAAAATAACTAGTTTATATAAATTATAATATTCTGTAAGGTTCTTTAAAGGTTTTACTGTATAAGTAAAATATTATAAATATTTCATAATAAATAATGTTACTGTTATTTAGCTATTAGTTTGTTAATGAAAAATCAATATTTGTAGTACATAGTACTTTTCTGTAATTAACATATTGTAATAAGAATAATAATCATATTTAAGGAATAATAATTAAGCATTCTTGTATTATAGAGATATACCGTAATTCATTTTTATCTGATATAGTTTTAACACAATTATTTAAATATCAATAAATACACTGTTGTAACAAAATAGACTTAAATAATATAAGTTGCATTATACTAGAAACCTTTGCATTTAAACCTAATTTGAGTACATTTGAATTGATTTTCATATACAGCTATAAAATATGCATACACCTAGATTAGTACATAAGGCACGGAATACCTTAAAATGCATATTAATTAGGATTTAAATAAATAATATACCAGTAAATATGCATAAACTAGAATGACTGCCAATCAATACCAAATTCATGCAACTGTTTGAATTGCTTATACAAATAGGTCTTTTTGTTTCCATATTTACTATAAAAAGTGACTTTCGCCTGATTTCTAAGTCCAGTCCTCTCATCAAAGACTTGGCATTTAAAATATGGGGGCGAATAGAGATGCAGTGACACGGCTTTCCAACTGTCACTTCGGTTCTCCACTCGATGTAAACCAATTGAATCTAAATAAATAATTAAAAGCCGTTCAAATCATATTAATCATGGTACTTATAGTATAGTGATCTATAGTAATAAACCATTAATATAGGCGACATCATTAGTCTTGAGTTGGTTTTCATCAATCGCTTTCATTTGGTTTAAATCAGTGGTAGAGTCGGGCCATTCATATCGGGTTTCGTGAAGGCTTCCCGAAAGCATCTGTTAAATCATTTTCAATGAATTTGTAATTTTAACTAATGATTGCATACTTTCATAAAGCAATGAGCGTCTGAGTGGTCGTGAATCACAGATCCCTGTCCTTCAGACCAACACAAAAGCATTAGATTGTATTTATCATTACCGTTGTCCACAAGATTTCTTGTATATCTAAAAATTACTTCATTATAAATACATTAAAAGTAATTGATTATAATATTATTCAGACCTGTACTCATCAAAGTAAGCAAACTTTTTCCAGTCATTTGCGTTACTCTATATGCTCTCGTTATGAAAAACGTGCATTAGGCGCAGTTACATAAGTCTAAGTTTTTAAACAGAGTTTTAATTTTAGTTAAGTAAATTTGAAAGTTATCCAAAGTCTGAACCAACAAAGAACATATTATGCATTTTAAAAATACTGTATAGATAAGTATTTTTAAAATAAAATCTAAATTTTATATTTTTCTCAAAATTAAAATCAATTCATTTAAACTTTCAATAGGTTTCAGACTTGGTTGTTTCTTGTATAAATGCATTTTAAAAATACTGTATAGATAAGTATTTTTAAAATAAAATCTAAATTTTATATTTTAAATAAAATGGCTTACAACCCTTATTATTAATTATAGTTATAGTGAAATTCAATATTTTTAAAAATCTGCAAATAAATTAAAACTTTAACAATATTCTTCGTAAATGAACCCTTTTTATATGATTATATTTGATATATTTTTTTATTAAAAACACTTTTTAAAGTAGGCATGATCTAAATGACTTTAAGTTATAAATCATATGTTATTATCAGGAAAAATATTTACTAAATTAAATAAATAAAATATTAAAACTAAATATCATATGTTTTCAGCAAACTATAATTATGACCTCACTTATCACTAAATACTGTAGCACATTTTAAATATACATATAATTGTACATGTTTTCACTAATAAAAGTTTAAAAATAGATCGACTCTTAATTATAGCCGAAATTATTAAAATGTTTATTTTTATTTAAAATATTCATCATATGTAGAGATTATTGTCATGAAAAATTATATCGATTTATAAATAATACATATAATTACACATATTATATTTGATTTAAGTATAAAAGTAATCAATAATCCTTGCAAAATATGTCGAGAAATTAGTCTATTATCATTTATATTAAAATATAGAATTATTATGTATTTTATATCTACTAAAATTAATCTATTTATAAATGTTTTAAAAATAAATAAAATTAAAGTACAGAAGGTATATATAAATATTGTGATTATTTTGAATTGTTAAACCATTTTCTAAGAATGTACTATTATTTTATGGGTACAAAAAGTTCATTTTTGCAATATTTTATACTACATCTATAGTACAGTACACTGTACTGAGTACAGTATTATAAAGTTTATATAATTTTTATGATATTCTTAAGGGCAGACAGTTTGTATATACAGTCGGGACATTTTCATTAAATATCTACATACAGTACACATACAATATTCATAACCACATGATTTGCTAAAGGATTTTAACCAATAATTTAAAAATGTAAATATTTTTTGGTAGATTGCAATTATGTTCTAGATAATTTTATCATTTTTAGTGAAGCATCTCGAAAATTTAATTTAAAATTGAGCTTTACTTTAATTTTTCAAAATGTGAGCATTTTTGAAAATCCGGAATATTTAAGACAAAATAAGAATTTAATTTTTATAACTACAGTAACCTTTTGAATACTTTATGCAAAATAATCAAACATTTTACTAATGAGTGGAGTAGTATTGCTTGACAACAGATTTTCTCAAATCATTTTCATATACAATACTGTATTATTCATTGAAACATATTCTAGACATTGAATACATTTGAACACAAGTATCAAATTATTTACAGTAATACTAGTATTACTCATTATTTACAGTAATATTGTGATAACATTCAAATCATATCAATTATATTTCACAAAACACTACTAGATTAACTATCAGGACTTTTAAAATACTAAATCATTTTCGTATACAATACTGTATTATTCATAGAAACATATTCTAGACATTGAATACATTTGAATACAAGTATCAAATTATTTACAGTAATACGAGTATTTATATTGTGATAGCATTAAAATAATATTACTATACTAGATTAATTATCAGGACTTTCAAAATACTGTACTGTGTTTTTAACATACAAATTAATAAACTATTTTTACTTTGTAAGAATTAAAAAGTCACCAATCAGTCACAAATTTGCTTTAAACATAAATACAGTATATTTAAAATAGTTATGAACTCTTAACTACCTTGATCATATGATTAATTGGTAATTAACATTCCTATGAATGCAAACAATATTATTATCTAGTAAAATTTATCTACGAATAAAATACTTTATAATGAAGTAATACAATAATGCAATAATTTCTATGCTATTAGTAATAACTGATATAATAATAGCAATTAGTTTGAGTTATTAATAATAACTATATATTTATAGAAATTATATGAAGTTATGATTAATAAATGATGAATTGATTACAAAATGACCACAAAATCAATGCAAAATTGCAATATTATATGAAAAAAGTGAAATATAGTGAAACCAAAACCAAAACTATAAAAAAAAGTTAAAATTAATTTTCAATTTTCTTCAAAATCGCATTCACTGTACAAATGGTGTTGTCTTTCGCTTCAGTCAAACATTTTGGTCACAAAACTGATTGCAATTCATTTGACACTCACTTCACAACACATTAACCACTCGTCGCACGGCTTAACACAACAGTCAGTGGTGTGACTGAAATGCACGCAAACTTCGCGACCATTATCTCACACCCAGTGACCACTCATTTGATCCGCGATTGTCATTAACGGGTGAGCGATGGTCAGTCAGTCGACGGACACTACTGTCCCATTGGGTATCTTCTGGGACATCGAGAACTGTGCCATTCCTCTGACCAAATCGGCGTCAGGTGTGGCCAATGGGATCCGCGACTTCATCCAAGACCGACATCCGGAGTGCGGTTACGCCAAAGAGTTCTTCTGTTGCGGCGACTCTAAGAAGTTC